CAGATGGTGGTGCAGGTGGTCCTCCAGATGGTGGTGCAGGTGGTCCTCCAGATGGTGGTGCCTCTGGTGCAGGTGGACCGTCAGCGTCTCCGGGGGGTGAAGGCTGCATGTCGCACGTCTCCAGAAGGTCCTTGACTCCCTGGCGTGGTGCCTGAACCTTCTCCGTGTAGTAGGTGCGGCAGGCATCAAATGTAAGTCATAAGTGTTACATCTCTTGCTTAAAGGTGTTAAATAATAAAGTTTCTATGTTGTGCCCTTGGCTAAATTGCTGTTGTTTGTTAGTTTATCTCATTATACACCTAACTGGCCTCCTCTGGGTCAAACATAGGGGTTGTTTATGTCTGTAATATGGTTTTAGGGTTTGTCGTGACGTGATATTTACACTTACCAAGTATAATGAGAGAATATTGTTGTCTTCACTGATATTAAGGCGATGTAATTTTCGAAGTAGCAGTAAGTTATAACGCGTGTCCCCCCCCTCCCCCTCCATCCCTCAGGCACACACACTCGCCTTGACAATACCTATTCCCTATCACCATCACACATCACTATAGCAGATGCAGTATCCCAGTAATTAAACAAAAAATTAATGGACTATTAACCAAGACGGTATCAAACTGCTGCTGCTGCTAACCACAACTTCCATCGTATCAGCTGACTCGCCCATACGCTCAACACGTCATAATAATACACAACAAACCCATATGAAAGACTAGAGTTATTAAAAGATTCCTTGCTTTATTATTGTACTGTGTTTTACTGTAAATAATTATTTTTTTGTACCTGATAGGCCTATATAGCTTAATATGGGATAAGGAAACATAAATAGACATCTGTTTATTAATATTCTTTGTAATCTCTTCTGGTAAATTTTTTTGAGTCGTTTCAGTGGATGTAAGTATGGTGTGACGTGTTATTCCAATCCATATGACTTATTTCATTTAATAAATAATGAAAGCCCCTCGAAATCGAAGATGGCCGGCCCAAGGGCCACCTAGGCGTGAATTTGTTTAAGGTGTAGAAGCTGTCGTCAACACAACAACCACACCCTGAGTTAACGAACTGCATGATACAGTGGCAAGGAATAGTCAGAGAAGACCGGACAACTCGCCAACTGCACTCGCTAACCATTACCCCGGAATGCGATCCGCAAATCGATTAACATCCAGGTTCCGCAATTACTGCTGGGTAGACAGAGGCAAATGGCGCAAAGAAACTTGCCCACAGTTTCACCCTGCCCGAGGATCGAACCCGGGTCCGCTCGCTTGCGAGGTGAGAATGCACAACTATACTCGTGATGCCTTGGCTACATATAGTCCATTATTTCCCCCTTGTACTGCTCTTCATCACTGGTCACTAACATTCGCATTGTAACTCTCCGTGTCCAGTGAAAGGACAAATATATTATCAAGGACGAGGCTATAATTTATTCATAAGTTTGTAGCCACTCATGGTATTCCTTGTGTTTACAATAATAACGTGCCCAGCCACCTTCTCTCTCAACAACAGCGTGAACCCTGGCAGGCATCTAGGTTAGGTGATTCACGACGAGTTGAAGCTTCTTCCGCCACTCCTCCCATACTGCTGTCGTGTGGGTAAATAATTCCTCCCATGTCCTCCTCTCCCTGGCTGTCTCCCATGTATGTGTTGGCCCACGCATGTTCAGTGGGTGTTTACATGGGCCCCCTTTCTAGGCCAATCCAGCAGCTGCAAGTTGTCTTGGTTAACGAACCACTGCTGGACTACTTTTTGGCTGTGTGGATCCTGAACAAACACAAAGGGCCGGGGGTCTTTTACCGAAGGGAGGGAAGAAAACTGTTGTGCAAAATTTCTATATACTTTTGTTTAGTGAGCCTGTCTTCAGTATGGGTCACGTGCCCTACACCATGGATAGAGACAACCGTCCCCAACCACTGCAGGTGATGTTCCCGCTCTTCCGTATATGACTCTGATTCATGAGTCTGAGTCGATACTCTCGGAGTCTAGGAGTTCACACCCCACGGAGAGAGTGGATTGACAACGCTGAGTGTACCAGTCGGAAAAGTCGCCAACTCATAGACAGTGCAGGTATACTAACAATGTACTATCGTGGACAAAAGTTCGTTCCCTGTAGTGAAACTGAGACACGGGAATGAGTCTCCGAACTGACTTACCCTGATTGTTATCTGGTGCGGGTGTGCTGTGAGGGTCGATACTGCTTCAGTTTGGGAAGGAACGAACTTTTGTCCACGAAAGTACGTAATGTACTGGTAGTACTTAGCAGTGCAGGTTTACAGAGGACATAGTCAGATTTGTAAACAAAGTACAAAGTACATAGTGCAGGTGTGGAAAAGGCAATGTACTGTACTGTATATAAATAGTCGTGATATGAATTGACCAAGACCGCCATTATAATCTTAGTTGTAGTACGTAATATTATAGTCTATTTAGGAAAGAACTGTACAGGAAATGACGTCAAGCAGCAACTAGGACCCCGTGTGGTGGTGCCAGTGTAGTTCTTGAGCGTCGACTGGTGAGGATGTGATATCAGTGGACCTCTCTACTTGGTCCTCAGGAGCGACACCACTCAAGACGCGCTCGAAAAGTGTGCCCGATCAGATGTGTCAGTCAACCACCTCAAGTGAACGAGAGGAGGGTGGTGACCTTAACGACACTCGGCTCGACCCATACCAGACTGTGTGTGTGTGTGGTGGTAGGAGAGACAGGCTAGGTCACCACCCCAAGCAAGAGATGTGGTTATGGTGGTGTGTGTTATTGACTTTGCTGAGTCTGACACACGCTACACACCTCACACACTTCCTTACCAATAGTGAGTTACTGTTCGGGTCTACTGTGTATTGTTTTACCTTAAGTGTTTTGTAAGTGCATCATGTTCCACTTAACTACATCCAAGTCTTTTGTAAGTGTAACCACGTACGTACATTTGGGTTAAGTAAGTAAAGTACGAATTTATTTTCCATCTCGTACGTGTTTGTAAGTGATCTAGTTATCCCAGTGTTCGTAATAACTAACGACCCCACGTACAGTACGTTTGGGTTTATGTAAGTGGGATTGTAAGTATGTACGTATTAAATGTCAAAATATGAGTGTGCTATTAAGTAACGTACATGGGATGGAATTATACGTACATATGGTGCATTTACGTACACGGTGAAGTTATACGTACACGGCGTGGATTTATACGTACACGGCGTGGAATTAGACGTACACGGCGTGGAATTAGACGCACACTATTTCCATGTATGACTACCCCCATTTAACGGACTGTGAGGTAACAATTCGTCTCCTCAGCCCCTAGTCCCCCCAGCCCCCGTAGCCACCCCAGCACCCCCCAAACATCCCCACCCCCTCTCCCACCCCCCAGCATCCCCACCCCCAGCATCCCCACACCCCCAGCATCCCCAAGCACACCCCCAGCATCCCCAAATACCCCCAGCATCCCCAAGCACCCCAGCACTCCTGGCACACCCCAGCATCCCCACCCCCAGCATCCCCACACCCCAGCATCCCCAAGCACCCCCCCAGCATCCCCAAGCACACCCCAGATCCGCCACACACCTAGTATCCGCTACACACTTCAGCATCCCTAAGCACACCCCCAGCATCCCCAAGCACACCCTCAGCATCCACCAAGCACACCCCCCAGCACACCCCCAGCATCCGCCAAGCTACTCCCAGCATCCCTACACCCCTAGTATCCGCTAAGCACACCCCAGCATCCCTGCAGCACCCCCAGCATCCCCAGCACCCCCAGCATCCCCCAAGCACCCCTAGCATCCCCAAGCACACCCCCAGCATCTGCTCAAGTGCCCCAGCATCTCTCAAGCACACCCCAGCATCCCCACCCCCAGCATCCTTGGGCACCCCCAGCATCCGCCGAGCACCCACAGATCCCCAAGCCACCCCCAGCACCCCCCCAAGCACCCCCCAGCATCCGCCAAGCATCCCCAGCATCCGCCACACACCCCAGCATCCGCCAAGCATCCCCAGCACCGCCAAGGCCCCCTGCATCCGCCAAGCACACCCCAGCATCCAAGCATCCCCAGCATCCGCCAAGCACACCCCCAACATCCGCTACATCCTGGTGCATCCGCCAAGCACACCCCAGCATCCGCCAGCACTCCCCAGCATCCTCCAAGCACACCTCACATCCGCCAAGCATCCCCCAGCATCCGCCACACCCCCCAGCATCCGCCAAGCATCCCCAGCATCCGCCAAGCACACCCCAGCATCCGCCACACACCCCAGCATCCGCCAAGCACACCCCACATCCGCCAAGCACACCCCCAGCATCCGCCAAGCACACCCCCAGCATCCGCCAAGCACCCTCAGCATCCGCCAAGCACACCCCCAGCATCCGCCAAGCACCCCCAGCATCCGCCAAGCACACCCCAGCATCCGCCAAGCACCCCCAGCACCCGCCAAGCACCCCCAGCATCCCCTTTTCATCAAGAGTGTCAGAAGGTGTCGAAAGTGTATGTTAAAGGAACCCATGATTGCCCACACACACACACATCTTGTTTGTGTGTTAGTCAGAACATAAGAATGGAGGAAACTGCAGCGGGCTTATTGGCCCATACTGGGCAGTCCCATTTACACCCAACCCCTATTGCTCATATGAGCATCCAACCTATGTTTGAAGCTATCCAGCGTGTTCCAGTTAATGATGATATTTGGTAACTTGTTCCATTCATCCACTACTCTCTTACCAAACCATTGTTTACCTATTTCCCGCCTAAATCTAAATTTGTCTAATTTAAAATCATTGTTACGAGTTCGCTCCTGGTTGGATAGTTTGAGTACCTTTGTAATGTCCCCTTTGTTCAGTCCTGACTTCCATTTATACACCTCTATCATATCGCCCCTCACTCTACGTCTCTCGAGGGAGTGCAAATTAAGATGCTTTAACCTGTCTCTGTACTCAAGGTTCCTAATGCCCTGGATTAGCCTTGTCATTCTCCTCTGAATTCTTTCCAAGGATTCTATATCCATTCTGTAATGGTGACCAGAATTGAACTGCGTAATCCAAGTGAAGTCTCACAAGCGCAAGATATAGTTTTAGGATGACTTCGCTAGTCTTGTAACTAACACTCCTTTGTATGAACCCAAGTACTTTATTAGCCTTGTTTCGAGCAAATACACATTGTTTACTTGGCCTAAGGTTCCTACTTACCATTACTCCTAAATCTCTCACAGTCGGATTTCTCAATGGCATCGTTGTTCATCTGGTAACTGGTTTCCCTGTTTACATCTCCTATACTGAGTACTTTACATTTGTACACGTTGAATTTCATCTGCCATTTTTCAGACCATTTGAAATTTTTTTTTAGATCTTCCTGTAGTTTTGTGGAGTCCTCGTCATATTTAATAACACATCCTATTCTGGTGTCATCAGCAAATTTACTTATGTTGCTGTCTATGCCGATATCTATGTTGTTTATGCATATAATAAATAATAATGGTCCAAGTACTGAGCTTTGGGGAACTCCACGAGGGACTTTGCTCCAATGGGATTTAGTGCCGTTAATGCTCACTCACTGTTTCCTGTCCTGTAACCACGCCCTAATCCATTTAAGGATATTACCTTTGATGCCATGTTCTTCTACCTTTTTAATTAGTCTTTCGTGGGGGACTCTGTCGAAGGCTTTGCTAAAGTCGAGATATACCACATCATAATTTTGCCCCTCGTCCACCGATTCGAAAACTGATGAAAAGAATGTTAATAGATTAGTTAGACATGAACGCCCGCTTGTGAAGCCATGCTGGGATTCATTGGTCAATCTGTGCTTCTCCAGGTGATTTCGAATAGAGTTTGAAATGATTGCTTCCAGTAATTTGCCTACTATTGATGTTAGACTGATTGGGCGGTAGTTAGAGGATAGTGATCTATCCCCCTTCTTGAAGATATTACATTCGCTATCCTCCAGGGTTCTGGTACTACACCTGTTTTTAAGGACATGTTAAACAACTTTGCTAAGGGCATACTAAGCTCTTCCTTACATTCCTTTAATACTCTGGCAAATATCTCATCGGGACCAGGTGACTTATTAGGCTTTAGTTTGTCTATTTGCTTACTAACATCGTTACTAGTCACTACTATCTCGCTTAATTTGTTTTCTTCACTATCTCTGAATAGAGTCGGTGCCTCGGGTATCATGTTTAAATTTTCTGTGGTGAAAACTGTTGAAAAATATTTATTCAGATTATTGCTCATTTCTCCGTCGTTGTCAGTGAGCTCGCCGGTATCTGACCGCATTGGTCCAATCTTTTCTCGTGTTTTAGTTTGATACATTTGGTAGAATCCTTTGGGGTTTGTCTTCGCCTCCCTCGCTATCCTTATCTCATTATTCCTCTTGGCTTTCCTTATCTCGGTTTTAACCCTACTCGCCAATACCTTATAATAATCCCGGAGGTGAATTTCGCCACGATTTATCCTTCTACCTATAGCCTTCCTTTGGCCAATAATGTTCTTTAAATAATTATTTATTAATTTAGGGTCATTGTTGTGTGATCTGAGTTTTTTGTATGGTATGTTCTGCCTTTGTGCATTAAGTAACTCATTATTTAAATTGTCTTGGAACTCGGCAATCTCAGATCTCGTTATCAGGTCGGTGTCAACTGTCAGGTTCGAGGGTGGGGTGAGGTCTGTGTGAGTCACCCCCAGGCGTGCTACCCCTACCCTCAACTGCCTCTTCAAACTATCAAAGTTTGCCCTTCTGAAATCTGGGACTTGAGTGGAATTTTCCTTTCGTCTGCCCTGAAAATCTAACTGGAATCTAATTTCTTTGTGATGGCTGTTTGCAAGTTCGTTCCCTACCTCGACATTGCTATTGAGGTTTTCTCTGTTCGACAACTAAATCGAGTATATTATTACCCCGGGTGGGTTCGGTTATATGTTGACTTAGGAAACAGTCCTGGATCGTTTCGAGAAAATCCTCTGATTCTGAGTTACCCGTAAGATCAGTCCAATCTATTTGGCCAAGGTTAACGTCGCCTACTATACAGACTTTGTTGTGTATGGAAGCCCTGCGCATTTCATCCCAGATAAGTCTCTCATTGACTATCAAGATTGGGAGGTCTATATATTACTCCTGTGATAAATTTTTCCCTACCGTCGATTAATTCTATCCAAATTGTTTCTGTATTCCGCTCAGTTTTTATTTCCTTGTTTATTTCACACTTCAGGTTATCCCTGACATAGATTGCTACTCTGCCTCCTTTCCTGGTCTGCCTGTCGGTATGGAACAATTTGTAACCTGCAATTTGGTATTCGACAGGTAACTCACGTGAGTCTAGGTTGATCCATGTTTCAGTGAATGCTATTATATCGATTTTTTCGGTACATACCAAGGCCCTAATATCATCCATTTTGTTTCTCATACTTCTACTGTTTGCGTAGTAGACATTTAGGTTAGTCGTGTTCTGAGTCCTCCCTTTACCGTGTTTAGGTCTTAACTCGCTGTCTAATTTAGCTTTGTCATCGTTCCTAACACTATTTCCCTGTAACCTTTTACTTTGTTTACCCGCTCCCACTGCAGTCTCCTCCACCCCCGTGCCCATGTGTTCCCCTAGCAGTTTAAAGGCACAACTTTATTCCGAGGCCTGTCCCCCCCCCCCAACCACTCTAGGAAATTCTCTAATCTATCTTTCTATTTATATGCTTGTCTATCTATCTATGTCTGTCTGTCTGTCTGTCTATCTGTCTATCTATCTATCTATGTCTGCATGTCTATCTATCTATCTATCACAATTATTACTAAATTTTTGTCACCCCAGAATTTAATTTTTTAAATACTTAGGCAAAACCTCTCTATAATGGACTAAATATCTCATCATATTATGTCCGTTAAATAGATGGTATAATGAGACAAAACTCACAAGAAGAGGATATTACATATAGGTAGAATATTTATAGTAGGAGGATGGAAAGACAGGAAGTTTGGTAGCATGGCTGGTTAGTTATTTACACTTATCTTATACGTTCTTAAGGGTCGACTTCTCAAACACCACTTCGATACAACTATTTATTATTCCACTCAATGACACAGACACATTATATCAATATTATATCGACATTACTAGAACATTATATTAACGTTACTGGATACTGACTTTCGGACACAAACATGAATGAATACAGTTCCCACAGTAGATAACTCACCCTAGGGATCGCTCTGACAAAGACTCACGTGTAACCTGACGGAGGCCCAGCGGGTGCTGCTGGGCTGCCTCCTATGGGAGACCCTGTTTAGCTGGTGACGCCGGGGTCTGGTGGGGAAGTCTCCCTCCCGACCTGGGGGAGGACGAGCGTGACTCTGTGTGAGTGAACAGAATGACCACCCGGCGGGAGAGAGATGAGTCTGGTGAGAATAATGAGAGTAGTGCGAATGAGCCCGTGGACTGGACTGCAGGGCCTTTATATGGGGGAGAAACAGCCGGTGATTGACCCCTGCCAATTAACACTAAACTGGTTAGATCTGGACAGCTGTGTTTGCCCAGGTGCGTGGTCATGCCCGGGTGTGTCTTGGCTAGGTGTGGTTTGGTCAAGTCTCCGGCTAACAAGTAATTAGTGGACGAGGTCAGGTCCCTTGGGTCCTGATCCAAGGTGTGTCAACCTGGAATGTTGGGGTACTACGAGGCCTGTACTGCACTCGCTGTTATATGTGTTGTAATTCTCTGGGCTGTAAGCTGTGGTCTGATAAACAATCATTACAAGGGTTTACTGTACACACTTGAGTCATGTATTTTTCTCATAACCCAACCATGGTGCGTTTAAGTTTCAAATTTAAATAGTTAATTTTTTTTTTAATTTTCCCAGTTAAGTTGATTTTTTGAACATTAAATAGCTGAGTTAATTAAATTTTTTTTAGTTAAGTTGATATTTTGAACACCAATTAATTAAGTTAAGATTTTTTTCGATTAAGTTAAGTTAACCAGTCTGTGTCAAATTTGCTTAGGGGAATTTTTATGTGGATTAAATAACTTAATATCGTGTAAATATTTTCCAGAAGAGTCGATGAATACTGTAGTTTGAATAGTGAGGCAGTCTTGTGTGCTATATTATTTCTTATTTTTTCTTAGGAGTTAATTGATAATTAATCGAAGTTAATCAATTAATTTGCCCAAATTTCGAGTAAGTTAAGTTAAACTGTTATTTTAAAGGCTAATTAGTTAAGGTTAGTTAATTTAACTTAATCGTTAAATTGTAGAAGTTAACGATTAAGTTAATTAATTGCCCTATGCCTAAACCTAACCTAACCTAACCTAACCTAACCTAACCTAACCTTTCAGAAACGACTTTAAAACTCAACGAAACGAAGAGATTTGACATCACTTTAAACAGCACCTACCCCCTGGAGCAGTATGTTGTGACGTCAGAAAAACAATTCATACTGCTGTTGGAGATAAGGAGCAGTCAGATAAGGCTTGAGATAAGGAGCAGTGAGATACAGTTAAACCCCACTTTGTCTTCGTCCCAACCCGCCTTGGGGCAACAGTTAACAGTCACCCTCACCTTCGGAGACCAGGTTAGCCACGGCACAGTGTGTGTGTGTGTGTGTGTGTGTGTGTGTGTGTGTGTCTGGTGGTGGTGATGATAATGATGGTGATAGTATATGCTAAACACAATGAATGATAATTTACAGAGTATTAATAACAACTATAATAATAATAATAACTAAAATAATAATAATAACCATTTTATGTATTAGTTTCAGGAGAGGCAAAAGAATATCAATACTGTATTTTATCTATCTATCTATCTATCTATCTATCCTTCCACAGCACGACGCCCAACTCACATGGGATAACAAGACAGCAGATCTCACTCCCTTCCTCGACCCCGGAAAGGAAAGCGAGCTGGAGTTAACGCTTATCAATGGTACCGTCGCTGTCAACATTACCCACACTGTGTTTCAGCTGACACCAAGCTGCTTCTGTATGTACTGTGTGTGTGTGTGTGTTTTTTCAGTACAGACAGACTTTTCTTAATTTTAATTCTGATGGTAAATTGTTCGCCGTATATTCATATTGTGCCTTAAACCACTATTATCGGACTATAAGAGGAGGGGGTAGTGTAGTCCTTTATATAGGAAACTTTTATATAACGGATTATATCATAAGATTATCTCGTTAAATGGAGGTTTTTACTGTACACACTTGAGTAATGTATTTCACCTAACACCTTTTTTTCAGCATCGGATCATTTGCTATTGGTGGTGGTGGTGGTGGTGGTGGTGTGCGGAATCCTGGTTGGCATCTGTACAGTAGCCATGTTCTGTCAAGTAAAGGTAAGCCACATTCTCTCTCTTTCAACTTTTGCGATAGTAGTAGTGGTGGTGTTAGTAGATGTAATAGTGGTGGTGTTAGTAGTTGTAGTAGTGGTGGTGTTAGTAATAGTAGTTGTGGTGTTAGTAGTGGTGGTGTTAGTAGATGTAATAGTGGTGGTGTTAGTAGATGTAATAGTGGTGGTGTTAGTAGTTATAGTAGTGGTGGTGTTAGTAATAGTAGTTGTGGTGTTAGTGGTGGTGGTGTTAGTAGATGTAATAGTGGTGGTGTTAGTAGTTGTAGTAGTGGTGGTGTTAGTAATAGTAGTTGTGGTGTTAGTAGTGGTGTTAGCAGGTGGTGTTAGTAGATGTAGTAGTGGTGGTGTTAGTAGATGCATAGTGGTGGTGTTAGTAGTATAGTAGTGGTGGTGTTAGTAATAGTAGTTGTGGTGTTAGTGGTGGTGGTGTTAGTAACAATAGTGGTGGTGTTAGTAGTTGTAGTAGTGGTGGTGTTAGTAATAGTAGTGGTGGTGGTAGTAGATGTAATAGTGGTGGTGTTAGTAGTTGTAGTAGTGGTGGTAGTAGTGGTGTTAGTAGATGTAATAGTGGTGGTGTTAGTAATAGTAGTGGTGGTGGTGGTAGTAGTTGCAGTAGTGGTGGTGTTAGTAATAGTAGTGGTGGTGGTAGTAGATGTAATAGTAAGGTAGTGGTGGTGTTAGTAGTTGTAGTAGTGGTGGTAAGTAATAGTAGTGGTGGTGGTAGTAGTTGTAGTAGTGGTGGTGTTAGTAATAGTAGTGGTGGTGGTAGTAGATGCAGTGGTGGTGTTAGAAGGTGTTGAAAAGTGTAGTAGTGGTGTTAGTAATAGTAGTGGTGGTGTTAGAAGTTGTAGTAGTGGTGGTGTTAGTAGTAGTAGTGTAGTAGTGGTGGTGTTAGTAGTGGTGGTGTTAGCAGTTGGTAGTGGTGGTGGTGAGAAGTATGGTGGTAGTAGTAGTGGGTGGTGTTAGCAATAGTAGTGGTGGTGGCAGTAGTAGTGGTGGTGGTAGTAGTTGTAGTAGTGGTGGTGTTAGTAATAGTAGTGGTGGTGTTAGTAGTTGTAGTAGTGGTGGTGTTAGTAGTGGTGGTGTTAGTAGTGGTGGTGTTAGTAATAGTAGTGGTGGTGGTAGTAGTTGTAGTAGTGGTGGTGTTAGTAATAATAGTGGTGGTGGTAGTAATAGTAGTAGTAGTAGTAGTTGTAGTAGTGGTGGTGTTAGTAATAGTAGTGGTGGTAGTAATAATATGGTGTTAGTAGTTGTAGTAGTGGTGGTGTTAGTAATAGTAGTGGTGGTGGTAGTAATAATAGTGGTGGTGGTAGTAGTTGTAGTAGTGGTGGTGTTAGTAATAGTAGTGGTGGTGGTAGTAGTTGTAGTAGTAGTATTTTTATTGAACGCTGTTTGTCATTAGCCCTGGGTTCTCGAGTCAACATTACTCGCTCCAACGAAATAATATGACAGTTATGACACAGCGAACGAAGGATTTTGATAACTTTACCGAGACAACAGGAGTCGCAGTGTTTATATTGAAATACATCGATCACCCGCCGTACATATACTCTTAAGACATGAGCGTTAACACTTACTAAAGTTTTCGTATCTGTGAATTATTATATATTTTTTAGTTTGTATATTTGATATTAATAAGAAGACTAATAGCGTAATACGTAATAACATTGTGTTGGTAATAATAATAATAATAAAAAAGAACACTGATGGTATGAATAATTAAAGTATATACGTATATTGATGATAGAAAATAATTATAAGAAACTCATAAGTATTAAGAATTAAAATAAAAATGATAATTGAAAGAAGAAACACTAATGATAACTTGGGATCGGGTTATACTGTACCTCCAGTATTCCTCTCAGTGTGTTAGGCAGTCAATCGTGATATTTGGGTATCAGGGACTTGGTAATGTGTGGCGGCAAGTTATAACACTATTTGGATGGCTTCATACAATACAATTTGGTTGTTTGCAGACACCGGCAGACACCCCACACGGCCGAGGTGGCCACCTCTACCATCACGCACACAAGGTGATTTCATGCGCATTACCATCACTGAGTTTTGTCGTCGCTTCTCACCCATCATACCGGACAGAGACTCGCCTCAGATTGGTAGTAACATGGCGGATACGGTCTCGTCCTCGAGGCATATTGATGTGGAATACAGCGTGAAGCACTCGGGAGGACTAATGGTCTGGACTATCCACATGGGGCCGGGAAGCTGTGCGTCTCGTGATCCCTTGTAGTGTCCTCCCTCGTGTACCTCACTGTCTTCCTCCCCCAGACAGAAACCTGCCTCCTATGTGGAACCTTGCGAAATTACGCCGCTGAAATATGCACTTCATATGGCAGATCTGAGGGCGGAGAAGGAGGCATGGCAGAGGGAGCAAAGACACAAGATAAATGGAAAATGTTGACATGTTCTACCACCAAGAGTTAATGTTGGTCAGCCTCTCACGCTACCTCACCAGGGTCATGGCCCCCACCCGGGACATGACGCCTTCCTCTCAACAATTCCCTCACTTATTTGATTAATTCGGGTAATTTGTCTATCTTTAACAGAGTGTCTCAAAAAATGTCATAACGATACATACACCGACTTACAGATCATCGTGGAGAAGGTGTGTGTGTGTGTGTGTGTGTGTGTGTGTGTGTGTGTGTGTGTGTGTTTGTATTCACTGTCTCACTTGTGAGACCTCACACTTCATCACTGTCCTCACTTGTGGCAGACCTCACACTTCATCACTGTCTTCACTTGTGGCAGACCTCACACTTCATCACTGTCCTCACTTGTGGCACCTCACACTTCATCACTGTCTTCACTTGTGGCAGACCTCACACTTCATCACTGTCTTCACTTGTGGCAGACCTCACACTTCATCACTGTCCTCACTTGTGGCACCTCACACTTCATCACTGTCTTCCTTGTGGCAGACCTCACACTTCATCACTGTCCTCACTTGTGGCAGACCTCACACTTCATCACTGTCCTCACTTGTGGCAGACCTCACACTTCATCACTGTCCTCCCCTGTGGCAGACCTCACACTTCATCACTGTCCTCACTTGTGGCACCTCACACTTCATCACTGTCTTCACTTGTGGCAGACCTCACACTTCATCACTGTCCTCACTTGTGGCAGACCTCACACTTCACTGTCCTCACTTGTGGCAGACCTCACACTTCATCACTGTCCTCACTTGTGGCAGACCTCACACTTCATCACTGTCCTCACTTGTGGCAGACCTCACACTTCATCACTGTCCTCACTGGCAGACCTCACACTTCATCACTGTCTTCACTTGGCAGACCTCACACTTCATCACTGTCCTCACTTGTGGCAGACCTCACACTTCATCACTGTCCTCACTTGTGGCAGACCTCACACTTCACTGTCCTCACTTGTGGCAGACCTCACACTTCACTGTCTTCACTTGGCAGACCTCACACTTCATCACTGTCTTCACTTGTGGCAGACCTCACACTTCATCACTGTCCTCACTTGTGGCACCTCACACCTTCATCACTGTCTTCACTTGTGGCAGACCTCACACTTCATCACTGTCCTCACTTGTGGCAGACCTCACACTTCATCACTGTCCTCACTTGTGGCTGACCTCACACTTCATCACTGTCCTCACTTGTGGCAGACCTCACACTCATCACTGTCCTCACTTGTGGCAGACCTCACACTTCATCACTGTCCTCACTTGTAGTTTGATGCCATATTGTTAACCAAATATTCAGGACATGTTGGCTATAACCGTCTACAGCCACAGCTTACTGTATGATAGTGGCGGAACACCACACTTGTAGTACTGTACATGTAAAAAAGTACTGTAGTTATATAAGTACACGTGTAACTTATGTAGTACATTTGTAAAAGTATTGTTGGAGATGTAAGTAATTTTATAAGTTAACCTCTTATATAGCCGAAATTTGTAAGTAAAGCATTTTTTTTAGAAATGTAAGTAGTTTGTGTCAGTCTAGCACACATTTGTAAATACAAGTATATTTTTAGATATTATAAAGTAGAACAGTTTTTGTAAGTAAGTTGTGTGATTAAAGTACCTGTAGTAACCGTGTTCATTATTGTATTAAGTGACACTTATAAATATTTGGTATTAAAGTTTCCTATTTTTTTGGTTCATGTTTTCAGGACTAATTTGGGTTTGTAAGCATTAATAATAAAGCTGATACCTTCACTACTCATATTTTAATGTTATTACCTCCCCAGGCACTTAATTCAGTCCCCCATGTTTAAGGCACTGTCATTTATTTGTGAAATCTCGAGAAGGTCTCCCCAGTGGTGTAGTACCTGACAGTCATTCATCCCCAGTACAGTGCAGTACAGTACAGTACTTAACTAAAACAACCAAATTCGTTCATTGTTTTCTGCACCCACCAGCTGTACTGTACTGTGCTGTACTCAGGTATTATTATTATTATTAAATTATTATTATTATTGATATACAGATAAATCTTCTTCATTAAAATTGTCATAAAAGTTCGCATTAGTTCAGCGTGTACAGTCGGGATCAATAGTTCGCTTCCGCCCAAAATAAAGCAGCATCGACCCCAAATGAGATGAAACAGTCAGAGTAAGTCAGTTCGTAGACTCATTCCCGTGATTCAGTTTCACCACGGGGAGTGAACTTTTGTGCCCGACCGTACCTAGACAGTGCAGGTATACAAACACTTTATACAGTGACAGTGTTCCGTGCAATTCATGAACCCTGCGACTGATGAACCCCTGAATCCGAGACACCACACGACCCAATGCGCCGTCTAATGGCCGCGCCGCCAAACAATGGCGTCTCGGATCGACAGGTTCATGAGTCTCGGGATTCGTGAATTGGACTGAGTACTGTACTTTTCCGTGAGTGAACCTGAGTGCGTGGCAGTGTTGGTAAAGGAACTCACTTGGTGCTCTTACAACACTCAAAACTCCCTGGCTGGTTATTACAAGACTTCATTACACATATTCCAAATGAATTAGCTACTGATATTGAAACAGTTTCTTTAGTCAGAAAAATACAGATGGTGAACCTTATATACCTAATAGCCAGCTAGAGGTGGTCACGCCGAGGGAATGAGGCCAGTCGCCTGTGTAGGATTCCTCCATTGTTCTTTACATGGGTGAGCTGAGTGAGAGCCTGAGTCCTCTTATAAATACTGTATACATTGATCTTAAGGAATTATTGGATAACATTAGTATCATCTGACTTAACAACATGTTTCAGTGTGGAAGTATAGTGTAAATGCATATTATTATGTTAACACGTTTATCCTTGTTGGTATAGTTATTGTTTATTAATATCAGTATTGTTTATTGTTATTTGTATGATTTTAGTGTAGTATACAATGAGGATATTGCCCACACGAGGAGAGTTAAGCTACCTGTAGGTGAGAGCCGTGAGTATTAGCGGGTAGGGGTGCCCGACGCTAGGACCGTGAGAGTGAGTGGTTGGAAGGCGGGTTGATCCCTGGCCAGTGGCTGGATGAGGGCGTAACTAATGGAAGTAGTCAGTCACTCGTTAACTCTTGTTGAGGAAGCACTTCCATGTCATTATCTGCCCCATATTCTACCTCGTTCTTACGCTTTGTTTAGATCAACGCAAGATTGATGTTGACCTCTAAGCTGGCCGGCTGTACTCTACTGTGTGGCCACAATGTGTTAGTAATGGCCACACGCTGCCACCTACTCAACTGAACAAGCGTTAATGAACTACTTGATGATGAAAATGCGTAAACTGCTGGTGTGATTCACTCGTGACCATGGGTGTGTGTTGGAAGACCGGGGTTAGTGTTCTGCTGGTGATGGGAGGCTGTGTACTGCCCTGCCTCGCTCAGATCACCGTCAGCTGTGATGTCGTCTGTGACCAGGTAAGGCAACATCACTTAAACCTAATCTAATCCAATCCAACCTAATCTAATCTGTTCTATTCCAAGCTAATCCGTCCTATCCCAAGCTCGTCTATCCCAAGCTAATCTGTCCTATTCCAAGCTAAACTGTCCTATCCCAAGCTAATCCGTCTTATTCCAAGCCAATCCGTCCTATTCCAAGTAATCCGTATCTCAAGCAAACTGTCCTATTCCAAGCTAAACTGTCCTATTCCAAGCTAAACTGTCCTATCCCAAGCTAATCCGTCTTATTCCAAGCTAATCCGTCCTATCCCAAGCTAAACTGTCCTATCCCAAGCTAAACTGTCTATTCAGAAACTGTTCTATTAAGCTAATTCTATTCTAAGCATAATCCGTCCTATCAAGTAATTCTATCCCAACTAATCCGTCCTATTCCAAGATAAACTGTCCTATCATTTAAACTGTCCTATCCCAAGCTAAACTGTTTCTATCCCAAGCTAAACTGTCCTATCCCAAAAACGGTTTCTATCCCAAGCTAATCCGTCCTATCCCAAGCTAAACTGTCCTATCCCAAGCTAATCCGTCCTATCCTATTACACCCTAACCTTACTGAACTTAATCCAGGTTTGACCTTACTGAACTTAATCCAAATTTAACCTAAGTAACTTAATCCCACCTTACTTAATCCACCCAGTGTATAGTCCAACCACTTTAACTTGATCAAAACACCGGTACTGGGTCAGTGAGGAGAGTACCGGGAGTTTACTGGGAGGAGAGTACCGGGAGTATACTGGGAGGAGAGTACCGGGAGTATATGGGAGGAGAGTACCGGGAGTATACTGGGAGGAGAGTAACGAGGAGTATATGGGAGAATACCTGGAGTATATGGGAGGAGAGTACCGGGAGTTTACTGGGAGGAGAGTACCGGAGTTTACTGGGAGGAGAGTACCTGGAGTATATGGGAGGAGAGTACCGGGAGTTTACTGGGAGGAGAGTAACGGGAGTATGGGAGGAGAGTACCTGGAGTATATGGGAGGAGAGTACCGGGAGTTTACTGGGAGGAGAGTACCGAGGTATATGGGAGGAGAGTACCGAGTATACTGGGAGGAGAGTACCGAAGTATACTGGGAGGAAGTACCGGGGTATATGGGAGGAGAGTACCGAGTATACTGGGAGGAGAGTACCGGGAGTATACTGGGAGGAGAGTACCGGGAGTATATGGGAGGAGTATACTGGGAGGAGGTACCGGGGTATATGGGAGGAGAGTACCGGGTATACTGGGAGGCTCGAGGTATACTGGGAGGAGAGTACCGAGGTATACTGGGAGGAAGTACCGAGTATACTGGGAGGAGAGTACCGGGGTATATGGGAGGAGAGTACCGGGGTAAGGGAGGTAGGGAGTATGGAGGAGAGTACCGAGGTATGGTGGGAGGTACCGAGTATACTGGGAGGAGGTACTGGGAGTATACTGGGAGGAGTACCGAGGTATATGGGAGAGTACCGAGGTATACTGGGAGGAGTACCGGGAGTATACTGGGAGGAGGTACCGAGAGTATCTGGGAGGAGAGTACCGAGGTATATGGGAGGAGAGTACCTGGGTATACTGGGAGAGAGTACCGAGAGTATACTGGGAGGAGTACCGGGAGTTTTACTGGGAGGAGAATCCTGGAGTATATGGGAGGAGGTACCGAGGTATACTGGGAGGAGAGTACCGGGAGTATATGGGAGGAGAGTACCGAGAGTATACTGGGAGGAGAGTACCAGTATACTGGGAGGAGAGTACCGAGTATACTGGGAGGAGAGTACCGGGGGTTTACTGGGAGGAGTTATATGGGAGGAGAGTACCTGGAGTATATGGGAGGAGAGTACCGGGAGTTTACTGGGAGGAGAGTACCGGGAGTATATGGGAGGAGAGTTTACCTTAGAGCTTATGGAGCCCTCATCTGAACACCGAAAACAACACCATCACCTACTAAACACCGAAAGCATGAATAAGGTAAACTTTATTTTGTTTCAGGAGTTTTAAAGGTTAGGTTAAGTAAGAAATTAGTGGTTTACAGTTTACATCATACAGTTTATAAGAGTCTAACCGGTTCCTGCTACTCTAGTTGTTGACATGGCCACTACGCGCGCCGCCTGTATAGAAGTACAAAGTTTTCCTGTACGCTAGTTGCAGTTTTAACCAATTAGTTTTTTGTTGATGACACCACACACACACACACACACACACACACAGACAGTCACACGCACACACACAGTCACGCACATACACAGTCACACACACACACGGTTGTACAGGACTTACCCCTCATAATGACGTCCCGGGTTCAGTCCAGGCTCGGGTGTCAGATGGGTGGACAAAGCGAGTTTACGCTGGTTGCTTCGGTAACCTAACCTAACCTTTCCTGAACTAACCTAACCTAACCTTACCTTACCTTACCTTACCTTACCTTACCTTACCTGGGAGACGATCACTCCACGCCGTGACGCCTGGGGTGGCAATAGTGTCGTAATGTCTTTGGAGAATTTACACGAGTTGGCGAGATATTTGATATTTGAGTTAGCGAAAAAATTAAATTTGGGTTGGTCTATTACAGCAGGCACTAATGATTACAGGTACTAATTACTACAGGTACTAATTACTACAGGTACTAAATTACTACAGGTACTAATTACTACAGGTACTAAATTACTACAGGTACTA